CTAGTTTTTTTTAAGACTATACGGTTGTATCTTACTTCTTATATAGACTGGAATAAGAAAAATATAATTAAAAGACATAAATAGATATAGAATGGTCTGGCTAATTATCTTTCATATTAGTCATGCCACTTTGGGTCGAATGTGTGTGTGTGTTAAAGTTTATACCCAATATCGGTCCTAAGTCAAAATGATAAAAAATGTTAATGTCAGGATCTGGTTATCGAGGCTTAATGACCCAAGTAGAAGCCCTGAACGAGAATGCATAAATCCGTAAGCTAGTAGGGTTGAGAAAATGAGATGTTAACTTGTCGGGATGCAAGATAAGTTATGAAACCACCTTTCTGAACCTCTCGGTCCAGGATCATTAAGGTTTAGCCACTCAAAGGAAGGTTTTGCGGATGAGCTTAATCTGACATGTGCAAGTGTGAGTGAAGTTAGAGTCATCACTGAGCGGACAAGTTGAGTCGTCTTCTTTTGGTCGTTGGCTCAATCTATAAATCGAGCATAAATTCTCCTTACTCAACTTTCTATCACCATACCGTTTCTATCAATTATTACGAATTATCTTAGACGAAAGATTTCTCGATCCTATTCTAATTCGTAAGTTCTAGAGTTTCTTATCATGTATCCGCCGAATAAATGTGTCCATGGCCTCTCCTAATCGGCCGCCATATTTTATAAATTAAGGAATTCCACATCACTCAGTACTTTAGAATGGAATTACCTAAGCCTGGATTCGGTTCTATTTAATTCGTGTAGCCTGTTAATGCTTTCCTTGAGCTTTGTTTTAATGAAACCACACGAAAGCTGTTTAAATTCCCTATTAGTGGACCTCGGCGGATGCATGATAGGAATTAGAACCAGGTCGAGAAACTCTGCTCCATGTTTGTAATAAATTGGGTAAGGATAAGGTATTCAATTTGTCCGGTATAACTCTGGAGAATAGTTTGGTACTTTTATTGAAACGAGGATTGAATTTTTCTCTTCCAAATGAGGTAAATCATTCTCTCGTTATACTTACTGAATTAATTAGCTTATCTGATCGATGGCCTGATAAGGTAAAGAATAGTATTGAGCACGATGTGATCCCTCATTTTGACCATATAATCCCTCCAAAGACAGTTTGTGTTGTTAGTAGGGCTTCTAGATATTTATGTGGCAATAATTTAATCGCTATGACGGCTGACAAAGGTGGAGCAGTGGTAGTCATGACTAGGTCAAGTTCTATATAAAAAATGCTAATTCATTTAAATGATATAACACTTATATGCTGAGATCCATCGGTAAGACTTAAGACTAGGCTAAAGGATGCTCTTAAAGTGTGTGTAAGTAATGGTGAGATAGAGAAGTGGAAAATGAATTCACAACTCCAGCGAGATGCATGTGCCTCCTCACAAGGAGGGTGTTGCTTCAAGATTAATAGTAAATAATGACGGAAGCGTGATGCATAAAATTTCACGTTTTTATGCCTTCAGCTATGGAAAACTGGCAATTTTTGGCCAAATTCAGTTAGAAAGTTGTATGAGTTTGTGAAATTGCTGGATCAGCAGCTAATACATTTTGATCTTTTGTATATGCAAACGAACATTCCTGTTCTAGGAGCTATTCAGATTCTAGTACATCCAGATATCACACAAGGAATAAGTTTGAGCATAGCTCCCATTTTGTCGAACAATTTTATGGTAAGACCTAAGAAACACTTTTGAACGAGGCAATACCAACCTCCAAATAGTTGGTCAGATACATGCATGACTATTTTTTCATCTGGCCTCATGGTAAGGAAAGTTTAGATAGTTTCCTACTTTCACTCAACCAGCATTAGGTTCACAATGGAAATGAAAGAGAATAAATCCTTACCCTTTCTGGAGGTTCTCATCATTAGACAAGAGGGTAAGTTAGGAGGAGATGTTTACAGGAAGCCAACATATGTTGGCTCTTTACTCAATTTTCTTTCCAACCATAGTTACAAAATTAAGGTTGTATTTTTGAAGTCAATGATTATTAGATAGCAACCATTTTACTAAATGGTTGAACGGTCGATAAATGTATTCCTGGAAAATAATTATCCTTTGGGCCTAATTGAGAATAATATTTCTATATCACCCCCGGATAAGAACACCTTTTCGGAAAGCAAGGCTCTGTGAAATTCCTTGAAAACGTCAGATCTAATCATATTATTGTGGGAAAAATCAACTACCAATTCTTCATCACCTTAAATGGAATAGGATGAATACAACTCATATATCTAATTTACTGGTAGTCTCAAAAATCTACTTACTTGCCAAAGAAAATGCTTAAACTGCCTGGCAACACAGTCATTTACACTTAACAAGCATCATTATACTGCTTCACTACTGACGTCCTATGTTTGCTTTAAGCAGTAGTAGTAGTAGTAGTAGTAGGCAATTTTCATTTTTTATAAAGTTGCGTTTGAAGGGATTCGTAGTTTGATCTCATCTGAGGACGACGCTGCTTTTTGGTTTTAACATAACTTTCAGGTTGACAATCCAAAAGGTGTGCAAACGAGTTGAGCTTTCTTCTTTCATATGACGCATAACGTCAGAAATTTATCCCATTTTCTAAAATTTAGAGCTTGCATAAAATCAGGACGACTAATCGGATCTTCCTTGAATGCTTTATATGCCCACCACCACAACAATAATAACAACAAAAAAGATATGAATGCAATATATAAAGATAGGTCAACAATGCATACATGATAGAATGAATAGGTTTAATTGAGCATCTCTCTTTAGGCTATTTTAAGACTTGCCCTGAAGTGTATACTCAATATTTTTCTGCGACTGGACCGTCTGAGTTACCACTTGAGTCAATATGGAATCCTCTTGAGAATTGTGATGAGGTCAGAGCTGCAGATAAGCAGGGACTAGCCATCAAACAGTGAAATTTGATGGTATCGTGAGGTCTTTTATTCAGCTTATACTAGAAACGTTAACGATAATAAGATTTAAAGGTTGTGCACTCTAAGATTATCCCAGTGATAATTACGAGATTTATTTGTTTATAATATTTTTTTCAACCATTTTTTTCTCTAGAATTTGACGCTGTAACTTATATGTTATTGTGAATAGACATGTTTTAGAATTCACAATTCCAGTTTCAGAGATGTGAATTATTTCACTCTGCCCACGACTGAACATCAGGCCACAACACTTTTGTCTTTAATCTTGTGTTTGTTGATTTTAGTGTATGCCAAGAACTACTCGGTCTACCTTACGATCCCAATTAATTCGAGCTAAGCTTTCGTCCGTCATGTGAAGGCCATCGTCAGCGCAAAACTCATCACTTTCGGAAATTCATCAGAGCAGCTGGTGCAATCATGTTCGCTTATTATTTTAGTGGGTTGTGCTATGATTTGGTTGTCTACTTCATGCTTACCCTAAATTCTTGCAAATGTGTGAGTTGAGGCATAGAAAGGAGGTAGTCGTGGTTTCGGTTGTTTCATTGTCTAAATAAATCGCTGTATTGCGTCCCGTGCATATACCATTATTTGTAAACTACTTGATGTATTATAGTCACATGAAGTGTGAGAACTCAACTTATATTCATCGCTTTTTAAGTCTTCTTCTTTTGCTCTCCAGTTCTTCCTATTATCCTTAATCTCTTCCTTCCAACAGCCACAAATAGTTCTCACCCAACTCCCCTTATTCATTCTTTTTTATTCGGGATTTTGGCTTCATTGTATACACTCCCTAATCTTTTGCTGACAGCTGAAGTACCAGTAACCTGCGAAACGCAGTGTTTTAAACCATTTTTGGGGAGACTTTCATTTTGTATGAAAGTGGATGAAGAAGCGATTGGTATTTCGATATCATCAGAAGAGGACAGATGAATCGTTTCGGGTGAAAACGGGCTGAGTTTTCGTCCTTCATATGATGGACATCATCAGAGTTGGGTCTTATTCCCGTAAAGTACCCGCAACAATGGTATCTCAAGAAATTTATCGAATCCCAGTTTATCTTCTTATTTAAACCATTCTATTTCGTACCCTGTCTCAGCCGCGTGCTCAGACAATTCCGATTTTCCGACCTGGACACCTCAGAAAGGTTTATTCTGCCCAGCTAACCTCTCCTTCAACCTGACGAGACCCACCGTATGACCAATCCTGAAACCTGTAGGAAAGACACAAGTCCGAAGAATGGGGTGAAATAGTTGTAAAGAGGTTAGAAAGTCGTCAATGTGCGGTAAAGAGGGGTCTGGTAGTGGGGTAGGCAACCGAGGAGAGAAGCAGAAAAGTACAAGGAGGCTGAGAGGCCAAATGTTGAAAGGTCAGACTTGCCGCAAATCCTCTTTTCTTGAATATGAAGAGGCAACGAAAACCGTTTTTGGCATATTTTTATTCAGATCAAGCACATTTTCGCATATTATCCTGAAGGACTAATAGTTGTATCTTTTCCATATTACGCTTTCATTAAATGTCACACAATTCTGCTTCCCAATTCGAAAATATAGTGAAGTTTTGCCCTCTTCTCACTCGAGCTCATCAACATCTCAAGCGGGAATCGGACCCGGATGCTTCGTATAACTTCGACATGTGACCCCAGAGTCACATTGCCACAACTGTCCCCAGGTGGCGCTTCTTTCACATATCACATTCTTAGTGGGATTGTGACTCTTATTCAAATTTACTGAAAATTCTCCAAGCCTTCTTTGTATGAATAGAAGTAAAGTATTTTTTCTAGACCACCTGTAGGCCATATATATGAGATGTATTCATATTTCATTAAGATGATGATCTATTCATATTCTCTAAGGCCTATTTATAAACGGAAACTAAGTAACGTAGTTGATTGCTATAGCAAATACAACTTTGCTTCATCGCCTAGTGGAAATGTGGCGTAGTGGTTGACGTGTCTAGTTGACACGCCATACTGTCATGGTTCGAGTTCCACTGGGGGTGTTGATGAGACCAGTTCAAGCGGGGTCGAAACTGGGAATATGAAATTCATTGGGAGCATAAGGTCATTGTGGGGCAATTCTGCATTGATACATTTGGCCTAGGGGCACTCATGGCGGTCTGGTGTGATGATAGCATGGCGAGTTTGTACACTGAATGACCCGAGTTCGATTCCCGTTGCGAATGTGACTACCCATTGGGAAGGAAGGATTTTAGGGAAAATGTCATCTTTCCTTCATCGGTTTATCCAACCTTTGTTTACTTGGTCACTCATTTGCCTCCTACCGTTCGTCAGTCTCATCGAGCCCAGTTCACTTTTATCCTGCGTCTGCTCTTCCATCGTGGTCCTCATCTGAAGGACTCCAACTCCAGCGCATCCCATCTCGCCCAACCGGTCGCGAACTGTCCGGTCTCCCGGAATGCAGACATTTCGGTGTCAACCTCTTCCTTTCCTCCTCCTCCTCCTCCTTTCTCTTTTTCTTCTTCTTCTCCTCCTCTTCTTCCTCAGTCTTCTTTGCTTTTCCACTCGCTACACTCGTGCCCAAACTCCCCAGGCCGACTCGCTCGTCTTCGTCCCGTCTTGCTGCCCCTCTTTCTCGGCCAATTGTTGGCCGGGCTGATCGCCGTTACCGCCGTCTGCAGCGGTTTGATCGCCCAGACCGGACTCAGCCTACCCTTGGCCCAGAACCTTCCACACTACACCCTTCTGGCCATCTTCTGCGGTCTGCCCAGCCTCGTGCGGCTCAGTCGAGCCTGGCGGGCTCAGTCTCGTCTGCCGAGTCGCTATGTTGCCTGGCAACCGCAACAGTCACAACAGCATCTGCCGCATGACCTGACCGATTCAGAGGGTGGAGTGTCACCCGACGAGGCACAAGACAATCCGGAGTTGTGCTGCCACGGCAAGTGGATCCGAACAAGCCAGTACAAAGAGTCCATCAAAGGGTCGTTTTGGAGGAGAAAAAAAAGACAACAAAGTTACATAGAAGTTGTTTGACCCTGTTTTGGCAACTTGTCAGATTGGCAGAAGGACCTGTAAGAACACACCCAAATCGCAGTCCATTGCATGCTCATTGCCAGACTCGGATCGTGGACGTGGTACATTCGCAGACATTTCGCCGGCATCGTAGTCGGTATCGTCAGCACTACACCACAATTGGTGAAAGATAAAAGTGAAGACAACAAGATTGTTTGCTCATGTGGTCGATGTTATGTTGGTGAGACATGCCGACCTATTCGACAAAGATTGGTGAACATAAACATGCTTGTAAAGGAGGCTGGGTTCAACGGTCAGAAGTGGCCGAACACATGATGTGAACTGGTCTGTGGTTAAAAGAAAGATAAGATAAGCTGTTAGGACAACATACGTTGAAGGTGAGGAGTTGTTTGACCTTGTTTTCGCGATTTGGTCATATTGGTAGAAAGACCTACAGGAGCGCAAAGTCTAACCGTGGATTTGGTACATTCCCAGACCTTAGCCGACATCGTCAGTGATCATTTGACCAAATGTGTGGTATCTCTCCTTCTTCCTCATATCACCATTTTAATATCACAATTGCCTATTTGTTTATCTAAACCCATCTGAAATTCATTCACACTCTCCGCTACTTCACAACATCCCTCACAATGCGCCGGGATTGTTGATTCGAGGCTGCGGTTTGATGCACACTCCTCTCCCCTCTTGCTCCGTAAGAGTCTTCCGTTGTCTGCCAGTTTCCATGACTTCACTCCATCGCTGCCATCGCATCAGAGCAAGTCCCTAAAGTCTGCAGATTTCTTTATCACTTTGTCACTTTGCGGCGAGTGCACCGAGTAAATCTCGTGCTCGAGTCTTTACTTCATCGTCCAGGTCTGCGAGAAAGCTGATCTACTAAAACCTAACTGGCAACGGTCACCACCGTTCCTCTCGCTTTTCAATCACTAATGTCGAGTCGGTGACTTTCTTATGCACAAGTTTCTTGCCTGCCGACCCCCAAATGTGCCTGTATTGTACGTGAAAACTGATCAACATTTCCTTCCTTGCCAATAAAGAAATTTTGGGTCCTTTGAGAAAATTCATTTGAACAGACTCACTGTAGACGTCTTCGCTTGGTTACCGATTGTTCCTCTCTGGTCTCCTTGTCATCTCTTTTCTTAAAATTTAAAGAATCATCTACCTCCTGTCGTCAGCCTTTTGCTGATATTGCTGTTCTCTGATCTTCTCCGAGTTTGCTTATGCGGTATGCAAAGTTTTCCCTAGTCCTGCCTTCTTCACTTCTTCTGTTCATCAGGTTTATTACAACCAGAACATCGATGGCTTCTCGTATTTTGCGATTTCTTGTACTTCTATTGCATGAAACTAGCTCTTCTGTCGATTTCCACTCGACTTCGTGTCCCGTTCGTGCGATGCGTTTCGCTATTTCGCTCATTTCAGTGTGCATGTTTCTGCTGAGTCTTTCGTATTTCTCGATTCGTGGGCTAATTTTTCTTCCTGTTTCTCCCATTTTTAATTCTG